TATTAATTTTAGAAAATCAATTGACTATGATTTTCATGCCACCAAACCCAACAAAGGATCTACATGCTATGTGAAAGTAATGCAAAAATGGTTACTGTGAGCATGAGACATAAAGTTTTCTGATTGAGCACTGGAGGGCTCTGAATAGGTGCAAATCGTGCAATTGCTTTTCCTGCCTGGTATCATGGGGATATCATCAAAGCAGACGAAGCATGTTTGAATCTAACAGTGTAACTGCAAATATTTTTAGTCCCTGCAAATATAGTGCATTTGGTTTTACGCCCATGCAAAATTATTTTTTGTTTTTAATCCCTATAATTTACGTTGTTTTTCTTTTTAGTCCATCACCGATCAGAACAACCTCCGTTTGACAACGAAATAACTCTGACTAATAGATTTTTTCTCATTCTTTGTCATGTCATTAAAAAACACTCAATTTTATTTTTAAGAAGGTCGTTAACAACTACTCCCTCCGTCCCTTATAACTTTGACATTATTTCTTTTTTGGTTGTTTCACAAACTTTTTCACTTTGCCTTTTAATCAATTAATTTGTGGTTTCTATTATTTTTATATCATCTACACAAATCTCAAAACCATACTTTTTACTTTATTATTCCACATGCCGGTCAAACTTGGCAATGTTATAAGAGATTGAGGGAGTATTTTTAAAAAGTGGGATTTTACATTGTTTTAACTTCATATAAGCCTCAAAAAAAATTATAAAAGGATAAATTTAAAAGTTTCTAAAAGATTTATGCAATAGACATTATTTTTTTCTAAATAGAGTGGTCTCAGAGTTAGAGATTGACAAGAAAGAAAACACACGGATGAAAAACAACGAAAATATTTTGCAGAGATGTAAAACAAAATGTGTCATATTTGTGGGAACTAACAACGTATTTAATCCTCTACTAAATTAACTTTTAGTCTTGTCTCAATTCGTACTTTATTTCTTTCACTAAGATGAGCAACATATACATCGTAGATTTATATCGATTTGGCTATCGTATGCACCATATGCATGGTAAAAACTATTTAACATGTGATTGACAAGTGCACCGTATGCACTTGGATTATTGACCCTATTCAGATTCTATTGAATTTATGTAATAGGTTTAATTATTCAAGTAAATGAAATTAGTTGAAGTGTATAGTATGTAGCTGGTGCATGTGATTGACAAAAGGGTAATTCATCATCATCATTACCCCAGTGCCGCAAAAGGGTAATTAGCTAAAATAAATCACCTTGTTTTTGGAAATGCCTGATGATGGGTGTCTAATATCTCTAGGCTGCAAGAGGCACTGATGTGGTTAAAGAAGAAAATAATAGACTCTTACAACAGGTTGAACTATATGTGTGTTGGAGAGGATTGAGAGTAAAAAACATTGATTCTGCAGATGCTTCCTCTTGACAAAACTTATCAATCATGTGCAGACGTATTCAGGAGCTGCGGAGGGTCAGAAAATATCAGTTCCTGTTGAAGATGCAGAAAAGATCAATGATCTAACTGCAGAAGTGGAAAGATTAAAGGTCAGCTGCCAACTATTATTCCTAAAGATTGCATTTTAATCTCCATAAGCTTAAACTATTGCCATTCCCAATAATTCTTGCAGATTCTATTGCAATCTGAAAAGCAACGCGCAGATGATTGTGAGAGGAAATGTGCAGAAGCTCTGCAATCAAGTGAAGAAAAGCGTCTGAAGTTAGAAGAGTCTGAAAGAAGAGTTCACCGACTTCAAGAATCACTAAACAGGTAGATCTTTTGATTTGGACAGCAAGTAATTTTATATTATTATCAGTAGGTTCTATCGTCTATGATGATGCCAACCAGTATTGGTTTGATGTGTAATTGTATCTTCAGAAGAACATAATATATTGAATTTGGTTGGAGTAGTCACACTTTGTATCTTTTATTGAAAGAAAGAATGTTCCATGGAACATATGACTAATACTGGATATGATCTAGTGTGCCTCAGGATGCTATGCAGCATATCAGATCAATTTTCAGAGCTAAAAGTGATATTAAGTGCCTCGTCCAGCTCAAGCTCAACTTCCAGATTAATTTCTAGATACCATCACGATGATGCTACAACTTCCTCTGATGCTGCATCCACATTCCCAGCTGCTGCTTCAACATCAGAGAACTTGTCTTTGCATCCTGATCCTGCCTCTTTCCAGCTTATAGTTCAAGATCTTTCAGCAGCAGAAATAGCAGGTCAGCCCATTTTGCCTTGAGTCAGTTAAACATGTTGCCTGTCCTAATTAGCCTATCTCACTCCCAACCCTTATAACTAAAAATGCGAACTTATTTTTCATATTAATCTCAAGAGTTCTCCTTACTGCTTCTCAATGTTACAATAAAAGGTTGGAGTATACATCTCATTTCTCTTGACGGCTGCACTTGCAGGATATGAAAACTGGGAAAGTGACAGAGAGGGGGCATTCGACGACTTTTTTTGATGGAAAGTTTCTTCAAACTTTTTTGAATCTTATCTGGGAACTGTTGGAGTCATGTATCCACCTCATTCAGAATTGGGCTATTTCACTCACCCGGGGATTTTTCCATGCCAATCAAATTATTCTCCCCAACTGAATCTGCATTTGAGCATACTTGTTTGAGAAACTCCTAACCATGAACATTCTTAATCTTGAGTTCGAAACAGATATCCTTCAAGGTCTCAGTTTCTATTAGGTCATTACCTGTACTGGAAATAGTTTGTACATGGAGGACCATTTGGATTCATGTTCATATTCCTCGATCTTATATGATTACATGAGCCTGCTGGCCCTGCTATCCATAAACTGTCAACCCCTTTCAGCCCTGATGATGCGATGCTCCGATGCCATTCAATTATATTCCTCCATCCAAAACCTGCTCAAATACATATGGTGTTTGAATGAAAGGCGTACAAAGAAGTTCCAGCTAAACTTTAATTCTGGCCATGCAACTCATACTATCCTTCTTATACCTTAACTTCAATTTGTCCGTTGTTTCAACGCCTCTTATTGAGATGAGAATGTTTCTTGTTAGCAATGGTTTCTCAAATCTGGGTCTAAACATTTTCCGTACAAAGAAGCTTACTTGGAGCCTCTTTTACGTGCTATTTTGAGAGTATACTTTACTTAACTGCTTTCTACTACATAACAGAGGGGATGCGGGCTGTGCATGACGTAATCTCAGCACATAAGATAGGCAGCATGATTTCTGGTAATGCAATCTTTTCTTTTTACTCTATTCACAATGTTTTATCTCCTTCAATTCTTCACCACTAACATTGTTAGAAGAACATGGGTCTGGAACATGTTTGAATATTTGACTGAGCTTCAGAATCAGAAGCATTAGACTAGTCTCTGTCCATATATTGTAATGCAAAACTCAGACATTGTGAACCGTCATCCTTTCTGTGATTGCATTACACATTGAGGGCATTATGTCATCCTCATCCTGAAATGACTGATTAATTATGATCATCATAACAGAAGAGTAATGGTAAACTGCTTTATTTTCAAAGGTAGTTTTACTTGGGAAATGCTGAAAAGCCTTCCAGTGCTCATCTAAAAAATATGGAGTAATTGACCCTTCAATTCACGGGAACAGGAATGTAAAATGTGCATATGTATTAATTCATTGCTGCAAAAATAATTTCTTTAGTATGAATGCATACTAATTAACCACTAATTCCATCTAACTAGTACAAGAATATATTTCAATTAATATGTAGTAGTAGCAATATAAAATACGTAATGAAATGCTCCAATGGTTAAATTTGAATATTTTTGCATAGTTGAAAGTCTAGAACTATTTTTGAGTTATTTGTATGCATACTAGCTTGCAAGGATTGCATTCGTAGAAGAAAACAGTCCTTAAACACATTTTTGGTATATAGGAATGGATGGAGATTCTGAACTTAACCTCATTACAAAAGAATATGAAGGAAAATAGTATTATAAAGTATGCAGTTTTTGGATTGCCTCCATTGATGCTTTGATGATTGTGACCATGGCAGGGAGTTATAGAAGCAGAGTTAATATTCACTGTGCTGTCTACCCTAAGCATAAAAGTTCTTTTGAACTTTTCAAATTTTTCGGTCTTCCTGGTTCAGAAATTAGAAACAGGGTAAGTTCAAAAGAACTTACCGTAAGTATAGTTGTTGTCTTCATCATTTGGCTATTTGAGATTATCTTTTTCAAAGTCGGTTATGTTCATGTTGTATTGCAGATGGTGCTGGACTCGGGCCGGTTCGGGCCCGGTTCGGGCCTGGGCCCGGCCGGGCCTCAGGCCAGGAAAGGGAGGCCCGAGCCCGAACCGCCGGTGGCCGGTTCCGGTCCCGGTTCCGGGCCAAACCGGGCCGGGCCGGGCCGGGCCGAACCGGCCCAATTAATTTTTTTTTTTTTTGTTCTCCTATTTAATCCCCTACCCCTCCCCCTCAACCCCAAACCATCCCAAACCACCTCAAATGGCCCAAAATACCTAATCCAACCTAAAACTTAAAAAAAATTCAAAAAAAAAAAAAAAAAATCCGGCCCGGACCGGGCTCGAACCGGCCGGGCCGGTTCACCAAAACCTGGGCCCGGGCCCGAACTGCCCAGCAGCCGGGCCGGGCCGAACCGAACCGGCGGACCCACCGGGCCCCGGGCCGGGCCGGGCCAAACAGTAACCGGGCCGGGCCGGTTCCGGGCCGGGCCGCCCGGCCCGAGTCCAGCACTATTTCAGAAAATATTCATTTGGCTAATAATACCCATTGTTTCTTACATTTTCATAGGCAGAAAGATTTTGAAAAAAAATATTAAGTGGGGCTTGACTGCCCTTATTTGCACTCTTGAGAGTTGCAGCACCAGAGAAAAGTCCAATAAAAGGGAGAAAGCGACAAATAAGGATGTGAGGATTGCTTTCCTTTTATCAAATGAAAGCGTAATATGGAGCATGTCTATTTCCACCACAAATTTGATAATGAAGCTTCAAACATGGGCCTAGTGCCTAAGTCATAAATAGCATGATTTAGAGTTTAGACCCTAAATGAAGCAATTCTAGTGCATTGCCCAGGATTAATGGTGTGTTTAAACATGAACATTTTACAATATTTTCAACATGCCAGTTCTGGAACATGGACTTCAAAATCATAGGTACAACAACGAGAACAAATAATTCAATTTACAAGAGAAATATAATTGCTAAGCATGGAAAGGAACCATATTCACACAATCAAATATATGAACACTGAACAGAAGTACAGAACTATTATAAATAAAAACAGGAAACCATAAAGTAGCCTTTATGGTCCAGACCTATCCTCTCTTCCCCTGCACCACAAAGTAGCCTTTATGGTCCAGCCATATACTCACTTCTCCTGCACCTCAAAGTAGCCTTTATCTTCGTCATAGGATTCATAGCCTTCATTTTATAAACCAAATGCTGCATGTCTGTTCAATGGGCAGTTTACCCTCCATTCTGTCACACTCACACATTGACATCAGTTGGTAGTAGCTGCATCAATGACCATAATACATCCATGCGATGTATTATTTGATTTTCCTGCCCCTAGAGAATAAGCTCAAGTCATTTTGGATTTACAAAAAAATGGCTATGGCCGTGCATTGTGCATGATAAGATGAGTAATCCAAACTATTATATGTTGGTTCTTTATCTTTATATTTGTTCAATGTAAAAAGATTTAACACAAACAAGGGGAAAGAACTTCAATAATCTAGGACAATCACACCATACATATAGGGATGGTACCTCAACCACAAAGCGCATGAGTGTCTTCTCACCATAAGACTCTGCTACTCCTTTCAGTATAGTAAGTTCCAAGCTCCTGATGGCCTCGGCGATCTCAAGAAAGTGGCTGCAGTCTTTCAATAGCATCTGTATTCATTTTCATATAAAATATATGAAAACGAATGAAGCTAAAAAAATACAGCATACACTATATGTAGATATCGAAACTATCTAACCATACCTCAACTAGCATGTGACCGTTTGTGTTAAGATTTTCTACCATTATATGGCAAACTCTCAAGTTACTACTCCCCACTTCCACCGCCCAGCTTGAACCTTGCTCCTCCTTACACGAAGACCCTTTGTGGGTAACTGATTCCTTCTCAAGCAGCCACTGCAATCATAGAAGTTGAAAATGCAGAGACACTTAAATTTCTAAGTCTGCATAGTATCAGGACCAAAAACGCAATTTATTACCCATCAAAGGTTATACATAAGTAGGTAATGCTGTATACTTTATGCTTACCTTTGATGCAGTACATTTATCTAGCATTTCATCATGCTCCGTAACACTTTGCATGTAAAGCACATGCTTAATCGCCCGCTCCAGAAGTGAATCGATACTGCACTGTAAATTATTATGATCCCAAAAAAAATTCTGTAAGAAACAGAACATTCCGCAAAGTTATAGAACAACAGCATGTGAGAAACTAACTACCTTTGAACCATTAGGCACCAGGTCCCGCAACTCCTTAATGCGTTCTTGAATGAGTTGTCTGTCCCTTGGCCTAGGCCGACAACTCTCTCCAGGTTTAGCCCTCCGTTTACTCGTTCGTCTAATTGTTTCTTGTTGTCTTTCCAGATACGCCCCTGACGAGTTGGACGAATATACCGCTGAACTTATTGTGCCCTTATCACTGCTGCAAGGTTCTGCCTTTTCAACAGATCTAGCATCACTCTCTTGCCAACAACTAAGATTTCCCACCACTGCTTCCAAGAGTTGATCTGTCTTGCTCTCACTCAGTAACAGACTGCTATCACCCGTTTCCGCATTTTCTGACTCCCAGAGATTGGCAGTTCTACCATTTTGAAAAGCAGGTCCTAATGCTTCATATAGCTCACATCCAGCATAGTAGTAGCTTAAAGGAGTCTGATTTGTGTCGATTTCATTAGAATGGAGTGTGTTCTTATATAAATCTTTATGCAAACCGGCACTGGGAAGAACCGGCAAGGACAATAATGATGCATTTGGATCACTAGCATCATACTTGAGAGTTTTGTTATTGTCTTCTAAGAATGACTCTCTTAAATTGATAGCTTCTAGTTTGCTCACTGTAGGAATGGCTTCTTGCACCTGTCCTTCACTTTTATGCCCCATGATGAAACTTTCAGAAATTGGTGCCCCAGGATTACCTTCGCTCTTGTTGGGAACTTCAAGATTTTTTATATTTGTGTAAGTTGAAGGATAAGATACACTACGGGAATGATGAGTGTGTGTTCCTTGTCCGAGAGATGCATATTTAGAAGAGAGAATATTTGTACCTCTTTCTGTACTTCTGTCTTGATGATTATTAATGCAATTATGATAGGTACTTGAGGTTCTAGTGGACACATCTGACTGGAAAAAATAAAAAGCAGACTTATATTTTAAGGAATGAATTAATTGCAACTTCCACTTCTAGTCCTGGGACATTAGGTCATTCCCATTCTGTCATTGGCATTCATCTTTTTCCTTTTTGGTGCAAGGCTAAGGCTGGACCCAGCCTGCTTCCTGGTGTGGCTAAGGGGAGAACCAGAACCCTAACCGGATAAACCAGTTCCGGGTTTTGGCCTATTGCCAAAACAGAAAAAGGAACCAGAACTGGTCAGTTGTGGTCCTTTTTGGATTAACAGGAACAAATTCCAATCCAGAACCAAAAAAGTAGGTTCATGTTGGTCCTTTTACCCACACGGTTGCAATTTGGCATGGTTCTGCAACCGGGTCCAGCCTTATGCAATGTGTTTATTGCCTTTTCTTGTCTTATCAAGTCATTTATACAGTTATAATAAATTGGAACCTGGTCTGTTAAGTGCCCAGAAGGAACACAAGTGACAAAAAAAATCCATTGTCATGCATAGAAGGTGAAAAACATGAAACTCATGGAATTAAAGTGAAAGCACTATTACAATCAAGTATGGAGAGAACTATTTTACCATACAAGAAGGCTCCACATTATACTGCTGAATGCTACCTTGCAAGTGAGAACCACCAATAGAATTGTGGACCTCCGAGAAAACATGCCTTATGTGGTTGATCATCTTCATATCCTCAGGAATCTAACAACAATAATTTAGTAAAGAAAATATGTAAAAACACTCGTGGATATCAAAAGGCCAATCGATAGAAATAAATACTTATTACAAACATCAATGCAATGGCCTTTGTTTCTTCAGAAATTAATCAGGCATTCATGAAGTGCATATGATTCCACAATCTTAGAGAGAAATATTTACAATTTTATACACGAATTCTTACATCCTCCAAAGATCCTAACTGTACAACTCCAAGAGGACCAACTGCCACAACAACTATGGTCTGCAATGCCAAAAAACATATTAAGCAAATCTCTCTCTCAGAAGGAGAAATGGAGAAAATGGTCATGAATAACAATATAAATGGCTAACCTTAACACCAGCGGAAAACTGAGGTTGCCATCTATCATCTCCATACTGAATTCAAAAATAAAGCATGCAATCCGTGCATGAATATCATTTGCACACATTTTAATATACACTTTCATAAAAACAATTAGGAAGTTATGTGTTTCACCTGGAATGAGGAGCTTGGGTTAACTGCCCATTTATCAGTAGAAATCCACAAATGTTTACCAGTAACAGCCACTTGTCCTACAATCCTTGTCAAGATAATAAATTTTATGAGATGAAAAAACATGACATCCAAAGAGTTTGTAAATATTGTCAACTTAGTTCACAGCTTGGAACTTTAAGGTCATTATTATTCTGATTTTGAAAAAAAATTCCTACCAATTTAAGCATCTGCTTGCCAAAAGAAAATTATAAATAACGGTTTTTCCTACAATAATAATATTACTAGAAACAAAACTCTTAGATAATTATGACTACATAGTCATTGCACAATGTCAACATGGTCATTGCACACTAATATGAAATTTCATTATAATTGCAAGTCACTACAAAATGCAACAGCTCCTTTGAAATCCATTACTTTTGTATTAGTCATTTGTTTTTCATTAATTCTATAAGTAACAATAATTATATACTTCCAAGTATCATCATCACCATCATACCCTTCCCCTAGAGAATAAACATGGTATGACATCTTGGCCACGGCTAAACCAAGAGCATCATGTGAATATTTATGACAATTCATCAAGTTTCCTGCTGAATTACTGAGCCATTTTTTCTCTTGGTTCTCAGTATTACCATAATATCCATCCTCCCAAGTCAGCACCCTGCAGCATGAAGCCCAACAACAACAAACAATCATTAAGGCTAATAATCTCAAATCAATGACATTAATGTTTCCTTAAAAAACAGACAAATAAACTTAGAAAATGAACTCCAAATATGGATACAAAATTCAGTATTGGGAGAGAAGCAGGGGAGTAAGAACTTACATGCGCGCACGATGTGTAAGCTTCCAGAAAACAGCATACTTCCAAACAGCGTTGCAACAAAGGTCAGTAAGTGCTTGGTGCAATGAGAACCCCATATTCTTCTTTCTTTTTCTTATTTCACCAGTCAGCAGAAATTTAAACCTCAAGAAACCCTAAATCTTGAAACCGAGTCAAGTCACAGCTGATATTTAAAACGCCTAATTACCCCCCCCCCCCCCCCCCTCTAATTTCTTAGCTTGATATACCTAACTCCCTCTATAAGATCCTCTCCCAGCTTGTTTCCTCCTCAACCCTGCCCGCCTCTTTATTGGTGGCCCCTCTGTTGACACAAGTAGCAGTAGTTGTAGTAACCAGCCTTCATTCTTTCCCATTTCTCACTACCCACAGCTCACAAAGACCCTGTCTTTTTCTTCTGCAAATCACCACTAAATATTGGTGAAAGAGTAAATCCCTAAAATACCCATCCTGATACAGAGTCACAATTTTCCGGGGTCTTTATCAACGTATGTCAAACGACATTGAGAAGCCTAGTCAAGGAGAACATAAAAATAAAAAATCCAATCTTGAAAAAGATAGTTACTTCAGTGATCAAGAAATTGACGGGTGCTTTTTTATCCTCAATGTATAAAAAGAGTGATAAAAATGGGTCTTTTTCTTTCAGCAGTAGGCTATCTGGAAAGAGTACCTCTACCGCTTCGGAGCTGAACTACGAACTGCCATTTCTTATCCCCTTCGAGCTTCTCATCTTCATGTTTTGCAGTTTGCACCAGTCCAAAATTTTCCAGCTTCGGAGAAGAAGAAGAAGAAAGTACGTAAGTGGAACGCAGAAAAGGTAAGAAGGTGAACAAGGAGCCTGGAGAAGCTTTTCTGGTAATCATTGCTTTATGCTCCGTGTAATAATAAGAACACGATTTTTATTTGGCCAACGTGTTGTATTTCTAATTTCTAAATTTTCTATTCCGCGCGCTGAGCGCACTTACTTTGGATTTATTTACAGGTCTGTTGTATTGGATTTATACTTACACAGGTGTGTCATCACGGTATTGCCCCTCTTTCCTTTTAGAATTACCCAATCGCCAGAACAGCTATGGTGTTTAGTTTGGTTATAAACTTACAAGTTAGAACAGTGTTTACTTTTGAAACTCGGTTACCGATCCTGTCATTGCAATAAGTGAGATCGTTGAATTTGTTGATACTTCATTCCACCACATGAAATTAGACTTTCATAATATTTTTTTATCGTTACTTTCATAAATTAAAACTCTACTTTAAGGGAAAAAGGGCCAAATTATACTAATTTAACCATGGTTTCAGGTTACAATCAATCAATAATTCAAAAGCCAACTATTGTTTAATATTCCATTTAGATTCAAGAAAAGTCATACGATCAGATTTTGAGATAACTACCTTTAAAGAAGCAACATTAATTGTTGATCACCAAATGAGCATCAGAGAGTTCATCATAACATTTAAGGTCATCGTACTCTTTATCACATTATCAAATTCAAAATAGCTGAAAAGTCTCTGCAATCTCTGTTCATACAATATAAAGTAATTCACCCAAAATAAAGCGAAACTTTTTACCAACATACTTGAGTTTTGAGGTATATAACGACTATAAGCACCTCAAAAAAGTAACTAACACAAACAAGTCAAAAACAAAGTAACAAGTCTAAAGAAACATAAATACAGCTTGAAACAAATATAGAGCAATAAACCGCGTGTAGCCAAAGCTACGTCTTCCAAATGCTAACCACACAATCCCTCCATGACAATGGTTCGGGAGGGGATGGACCGACAATACTGCATCTTCTTCCTCACCAGGCTCCTTGTTCATCGCATTCTCTGTCATACATCGAAACAGCCCTATCTGTTTGAGAATTTAAACCGACTATTGCATAGCCCTATCTGTGAGAACATCTAAGCGACACCAACACTGAAATCATCATGCCCTCAAAAAGGAAAAATTGGAAGCAAAAAAAAAACTGATCGAGCTTCACACTAATTGAATCGGCGGAGGAAAAAAATCAATCGAAACTCAACACAAAAAGGAACAATGTAGCGCGGTACTAACTAATTGGCGGACGAAGAACACAAACAATACCATACGAGGGTACCATGGTTGCTTTTTGGAAGAGAGGGTGTTTGTAGAGAGTATAGAATAGTGCATTTCATTTATTAGTGTATTAAAGTAAAATTTAACTTATAAAATTTTGATAAAATTTGTCTTAAAGTAATACTTTAAAAACTAATTTTACTAATAATCAAATTATATATCAAACTCGTGTTATGATAAACGTGAAAATCAAATTGATACAATTAAATAAGAGAGGAGAGGAGACTTGTATGTGTATGTTTTTGAGACACCACATATGGTTTGAGTTTATTTGGTCTTGGTATATATATGCTTTGATCCGAGTAATATTTTATCTTTTTTGATAGATAAAATATACTCCGTGATATGCAAAAATGGCAAAACCTTTAAAGTATAAAATTACAAAAAAAAAATGAGACACACAAATTTGATGTCAAATAGTTCTCAGAAAGTCGATCCAAATTTGAACCTATGAGCTAGAAATCATCACATTGGCTTAAATTCTCGCATTATCGTTGTGAGGGCTCTTATCTAGACCACTGTTTGGAATATAAATAGTTAACAACTTAATTAAAAATGTATAGATGCGGTTGTTAATAAATATTTGTAATAGGTTGCATTCATCGAACATTTAACCAAGGGAAAATGGAAATATTAATCCAACCTTTTAACATTCTTCTTACAATTGTCTTATAGTCACCTTTTCGTTATACAAGAATAATCCAACATTTGCACCTCATCTTCTTTCGTTGGTTCCTGAACGGTTAATGATCTGCTATTCCAAGTTATTTTCTTATCTTTGCAAAATGTTATCTTTGTGAAAAGTGAGATTTATGGTATATATAATGGTTTGCAAAGATAAGAAAATAACTTGAAATAGCAGGTCATCAACCGGTCAGGGACCAGTGAATGAAGATGTGCAGGTGGTACAAAAGTTGGATTATTCATGAATAACAAAAAGGTGGGATTATTAGTTTCCATTTTCCCTAATAACCTTTAACCAATACTAATAACAAAATGTTATCATTATTAATTATTAATTGTGGAACAAAGACCAGACACCAGAGTACGTAGTAAGTAAAGGTCTGCTCTTTCATATAGTCTACTTGTATGGCAAACATTATGATTTCAACTCCAATATAAAATGGTTCTTACCTTCCCTCCATTCCATCTATCGACCAATCCTTTTTTTCCTTCAATTTTTTCTTTTCTGTTTTTCTTTTCCTTCTTGCAGTCCCTTTCAATAGTTAACAATGATTTGTCTATCTGACTATCTAAGTCACCGTTTGGCATGGTTAGCCTTTTTTTTTTAACTTACTAGTGTTATCAACCAGATTTGTTACCAAAAACTAATGTACGTTTAACCGCACACGTATTGTTTAAAGGTCTAAGTGAGCATTTTTACTGAATTTGATGAAGATAATCATTTGACTAGTTCAACATTTTTATGAATCAACCAGACTTAATTCAGTTAGAAAAATGTGTTAAAATTGCATCAAATAGTCAATTTTGGATAGAATTTTGAGTGGGTCCCACTTTTGTTTTGGATCAAGTCAAAGTGGTTTCGGATTCCCCTTGTTAAGGGCTTCGATTCAATATATGGTACACTCAAAACGGATAACAGGTGAATAAGAAACTAATTTTCAAAGGTCACTCGTTGAAATGGAGAAAACTATGAAAAAGATAAGTTTCTAGTGTGACTTATCTCACACCGGAAAACCATGGGATTTTCACCCCGATCTTCACACGCAGGCGGTGCCGATCAAATCCCGAAAATAGAGAAACAAAACCGCGACTTGCGTGCGCGGGCGACCTGCGAACACTTCACAACCTACATGTTGTTCTTGCTTTGACTTTCTTTCTCATCTTATTTTTGTTTTCTTGGCTATTTATTTATTTAATTTTTTATTTTCAGATTAAACAAACCAATTTACCCATCTCGCACATGTGATTTAACCGGTTCAGTTTATAACCAGAAATCGGCACCCCTACATGGGCGGGTGTACAACTCTTTATACAATTAGTCGTTATATCATGTTGTTTGAGTCTTAACATTGATTATCATGTTCGGAAGGTACCAAGGAATAACCTGAAAAGGTACTAAAATCACATACCAAACATTGTATTCAAATCAACATGTAATGCTCATTACATTACTACATGGGTGATTACGTCATACCAAACATGACCGTAGTGTCATTTTCTATAGTAATCACTTGAGATAACAAGTTATCTTCCAGGAAACAACATAATGACTCGACAATTAAGAGCTAGAGAAAAAACTTTGCCTCTTACAAAATATTTTTCCATGAAAAGAGGAGCAATGAGCTTGATTATATTGAGGGCAATGACGTGATACAGAACAAGTCGTTATTCATGACAAGTGTACACTGAGATGGGACCCATCCACCCAGATTACATGCTAGTGAAAAGCAAGCTTCCAAATCTATCTTGGAGATTATGGTCGTTGCAACTCGAGTACTACCATATTCAAAGAAAAAGCAAACTCATTTAGTAAATAGAGGGCCATATCGGACAGAAATGATGGAAGTGATGATCAGGCCTTGTGATCCAGGCGCAATTGTAAAAGAATTTCTCACCCCACATGAATTTTTTTAAACATAAATGCAATGTTTTTTAAGAAATAATTGCATATTTATGGCTATTATTAATTAAGGGTGTTTACAAATATGTGTCACAGTGACATCTTAAGTTTAGCTATAAGGAATGAACTAGTTATTCATTCATAATATAAAAAGCATACTAATATTGTACTTCACTTTTCATTGTATCTTGACAAATTATCTTCATGTCTTTTTAAATGAAGATGATGCCAGCCTAATAACATTACTGCCAAATGCATTCTTCATATATAATTTGACCTTTAATTATCTCTCATTAGGGTTGCGTTAGTGGTTTATCAGCATGCTATCATATCGTATCTAAACCTTTCCCTTTCAGTGTCTACTTGTTTTTGTCCTTTCATGTGGAGTGATTGGTAAATTCGTTGTACATTGGTTAAAACTAAAATGCTGAATTTAGATTGAAAATACAATGATTAGAAAGGGAGGACTATAATGGGGATGATAATGCTGTCACTAATGATAAATGGAATCCCATGTTGCTGTGGCACAACATGCATGGATCACATAGACTCCATGTGTACTGAATTAACTACCGGTATATGTTAATACGGAGTATATGTTTTTAAATTTTAAGTGAACAACAATTTTACTATAACTTCACTTAAAAAACAATTTTACTATAATTTGATAATTATACAAATTTTTCATATGAACTTTTATACCACTAATAATTAAGGATTTTTTAAAATTTGGAGTGGGGTTAGGCCTAACATGTCCCCGCCTCTCTGCCGCTGCAGCATATAGGTCTTGCATGTGGCAACCGACCATACTCGTTGGACTTAAGCCCGGGACAAGGCAATGTGGTCGACCTCATAGGTTTGTAGTAGTACATTTCTAAGAACTAATACAGTACTTGTTCTTGAGATTTGTAGTACATACATTATAACAATATTTTTCCTTTTCATTTTCTAGTTCTTGTTCATTTTACTGCCTTAGTACTTACTGTACTTAACGCCATTTCATTCTTAATTTCAAATGAAAAGCTATTAAATCAAATAAATGTGGATTCACTGAGCATTGTTTGACGAGTGATGGTGTTACATGTACTACCAGAGAATCACGTTTCAGTGGCGGAATATCTGTCAACATATTCGCCTCTGAATTGCAACATATTTTAACAACGTAACCTTGACGCCAATGGCTTTGGCTGCAGTTGGTACCGTGGAATCATCCCACGGTGAGCATCGTGCTCCACTTCCAAAACGGCGCAGTTTTGCGTACGTAATTTTAACTTAAAAAATTTCACGGGTGAACAGTACACGCGTGTACAGTACCTTTTTTTAGTTTTTTCATTGTCCTGGACAGAATTATGTAACTCGCGTGTAAAATAACGTAATTCACACTGATAAAAGATGTAACTTCAGGCAAGTCGAAATGTAACTTGTCTAAAATAGTGTTTTCAATGTAAAGTATAAAAAGAGTCCAATTGCTTATTTACTTTATCTAAATAGTGAATTTGTTTTGTTTTTTAAGAAATCATTTCCCCCAAATTTTTTTTGCAAAAAAAAAACAATTTTTATAAAGTATTTTTTGTTTCAATAAAAGTATTTGTGATGTAACTCGTGTTATGGAAAATGCAACTCGCTTGTGAAGGGTTTTGGTGTAACTCGCGTACATTAAGATGTAACTCACGCATAAACAGATGTAACTCACGCATAACAAGATGTAACTTCCTATAATATCAAATGTAAACAATGAAAAAAGAGTTTAATGTTCAATTAATTTACTTAAATAGTGAATATGTTTTTATTTTTTTTAATATTAGGGTCATAAAAATGTTTTCAATAAAATCCATTTATTTACCAAAAACAATAGCCAAAAAAAATCATATTTTGCAAAAATAAAAGATTTTTTTATTTTGTGATGTAACTTGTGTTATAAAAAGATGTAACTCGTGCACATGAATATGTAACTTCATATATTACCAGATCTAACTTCATGAATCAAAGTAAACAAACTTAATTTCTTAAAAACCCTCTAAATGAGTTTAACTTTTACGACATAAAAACATTCACTTTTCGTCTTCTACATTCATTATTTGCTTTTTTCTTTTTTTTCACCACAATTAATCTGCTACTTTTTCATTTTAAAATAGGTTCCAAAATAATAAATAGCAACTAAAATACAGAGCATGTACATGACGGATTCAAACAAAAAAGGAGTATGTATGTCGTTAGCTAGTCATCTATGTCGGCAAACACACAAGGTCATGACAGGTACGAAGCAGGATAATATAGCAAACTAAAAAGTAAAAACTAGAACATAAAGAGTAATAATAACAAGTCCAAAGAATTAAAACTCATTCAACAATCCAGAGAAGTTTTTGACAAGAAGATATATGATCAGGGAAACAAAGGTTAAATCTTCTGCTCTGGAACTTGAAATTTTAAAAGTTGCAACCCTGTCAAGTCCCGAGGAGTTAAAGGTCAAGAGATCACCAAAAAAGAAGAGCAACAAGAAATAACAAATCAAGGAGAAAGACCGTTTCAGAAACAACATTTTACATGCATTTGAAACCCTTCTTTTCATAATGGTGAGCACACAATATCATGGGAAAACAGCCATCAGTTTGGAGGGATGCACAAGATGACATGGGCAAGTTTACTTTGCTGCATTAATGCTTGTTGTAGTGTTGAGGTTTGTTTGATACTTTGATATAATAACATTTAAATATATGCTTCCCTGACAAATGACTATAATACTAGAAAACTGCTGCATTAAATGCTACCTGGAGTCCTGGACAAATGGCTATAAAAATTGTTCTCCACAATTGCTAACATCACAACACAATACTTTTCTCTTGAAATCACACTATCAATTCACAAGCTTCTTTAATTCTTTGTTAATGGCTATTCACAAAATACAATAGAACAATATAGTACTACTAATAACTAATCCAGAAACTAATAAAAGGCTTACAATATTCATTACCAACAAAGTACCTAAAGAAACACAATTTTAAAAGCTAATGAAAGCAATACATACCATAACTTCTGTTTGTGAGGAGGAAATAATTAGCTCTCCGTTCTTTTTTATTGGATGGTATGTACGATACATTTTCAAAGGATTTATTTCTTTACCTCGAATTATAACCTAAAACAAAATAGTAGAATTTACATAACTATGAATTAAAGAAAAAATTAAATGTATACTAAACTTTCTTCAAAAGCAGGAATCTGAAGATAAGCAGATTTCCTGAATGGATAAATGGCAGAAAACTGAAAAAAGAGATACATTTAGGACATATTCGAGAGTGCTTTTTCTCCAGCTGCGCTCACCCTAATTCCCAACACTTTCTTAGGGGTGGCGTGTAGGTCCCATTCCTCATAAAAGCATTTAGATAACGGTTGGCAGGGAATGCTAGGTGCTTCACCAATGAAATGTGAAAGACTGGGTGTACTGCACAAACTTCTGGTAACTTCAGTTTGAAAGCAATAGGATTGATTTTCTCAATCACCTCAAAGGGTCCGTAGAATCTTGGACTTAGTTTCTGGTTCACCCTTTTAGCCAAGCTTTTCAGTTTGTATGGTTGAATCTTTAAATAGACTTTATCCCCCAGCTCCAGTTGCATATCCCTTCTTTTTCCATCCACCTCTCGCTTCATTTTATTCTGAGTTGTTGACAATGTCTTCTTTAATTCTTCCAGCATTATGTTTCTTTCAGCAGTGAGCCTTGATACTTCCTCATTGGCTGCCCCTCGAATAATGGTTGAAGGTTCTTGACCATAAAGAGCTTTATAGGGGGCGTTCTTGATGAAGATGTGAAGTTTGTATTGTATCAGAACTATGCACATGATATCCACATTTGCTTTGGATACCATTTGCTTTGGCCGGTATATTTTTAAAACATTCGTATCTTTTGTTGGGGCCATGTGCCCCCACTACTTCTATACTGCATCCGCCCCTGTCCATTTCGGCCACTGGATAAGATTGGTGATTTCGATTGTTGGGATGCTAGTAAAGTGGATTTTGAATTGTTTCTGAAGTGTGTTTACGAAAAAACAAGTTATAACCTCGGTGTTCATAAACTGAAGATCTCATTTCAAGTCTCACGCTTTGGTAAAGGTGTTGTTCCTTATATTTTAGAGAAAATTAAAGCACTTTATGTATTTTTAAAAGAAAAAAAATGCATTCAGTTATACCTAATGTTGAGGTTGTTGAGGTTATTGAAGTACATTCTATTATTGAAGAGATTGAAGAGGTAGAATATGATCAAGAGGTACCATCTGTTAGGATAAACTACTCATAGTATGGGGAGGATTGTTCTAAGAATGATGAAGTTATCTTTAAGTATTCATTTTTCAAATGTAACATTGTTGTGGAAGGAGATCCTAATTATCAATATCAGGATTCAATTCCTCGCATGATGATAATGCTATTGTATTCACACCTAAAAGATTTGACACACCTATAGAAGTATCTGATCTTACCTATAAACTTGGTCGTCAGGATTAGCTACTTTGGTAGGAGTAAGATCGGATACTTGTATAGGTGTGTCAAATCTTTTATGTGTGGATACAACAACATCTTCATCATGTAATGAATCCTGGCATTGATAATTAGGATCTCATTCCATAACAATATTGCATTGAAAAAATGTATCCTTAACATTAAGTATAGTTGAATGCATTTTTTTGTCTCTCAAAAATACGGAAAGTACTTTATTACTCCTTCCGTCCCCCTTATATTGTCTCGTTTTACTTTTTCGGGGAGTCCCACTAAAATGGTCCAATACCATATTTGGTAAAGTTTGTGTGGATATAAATCATTCTTACTTTATTCTTACTTTATCAATTAATATCAACCACACAAACCCACTTTTCTTAATAACTGTGCAACCCTCTTCCGTCCTAATATAAAAGGGACGGAGGTAGTATTACATAAACTATAAGGAACAACACCTTTACCAAAGTGTGGGACTTGAAATGAGATCATCAGTTTATGAATATTGAGGTTATAACTCGTCTCTTCGTAAACACGCTTCAGAAACCATTCAAAGTCCACTTTACTAGCATCTCAATCGAAAGCATCGATCTTAGTGTCACCATCCAATGTGTACTCTCCTAAATCATTCTTCTTTCATTTTACATTGTAAAATGTAAACAACATATATCAATGAAACCATCTGCATAAAATTGTATATTATTGTTTCCAGACAATACACTAAAATATTTAACTAATATGGACCAAAGTTTGTCAAATGTTCGACCAAATGATGGTCGAACACATAGTCGACAAAAGTGAGTGTCGACCAAATATGGTCGACCTGTGTGAACTTTGTCACCATATCAACCACAATTTTTCAGCCATTTGACCATATAGATGAAAAAATGAAGGCTAAAGGGTCAAATAGGCCCTTGAACTAACTTAAAGTGTTCAATTAGCCCCTTATATAGGAGGTTCCGTCCGGCTGTCGTCAATTGGGGCGGTTCCCGGTGGAATTTTTTGATGAAATTTTTTGAGCATCTTCTTCATTAAGTCTAGTTTACCCATACCAAATTTAAGCTAAAAATTCAACCGGGAAGGCAGTCAAATGATTTTTTGAAGATAACTGCGCAGTTAAACATCGTAGTACATTTTGGAAAATCATTTGACTGCCTTCCCGATTTAATATTTAGCTGAAATTTGATATGGGCAAACTAGACTTAATGAAGAAGATGCTCAAAAAATTTCATCAACAAATTCCACCGGGAACCGCCCCAATTGGCGACGGCCGGGCAGAACCTCCTATATAAGGGGCTAATTGAACACTTTAAGTGAGTTCATGTATCTATTTGACCCTTTAGCCAAAAATGAATAAATATATAGTTGACTTGTGTTAAATTTGTCAACACATCGACTATATTATGGTTGAACACACTAAAAGAGTATAGGTTATGACGACCAAAGTGGTCGATCATTATATAATTGTGATCTATTCGACCATATGATTTTCGAGCATATAGTTAAACTAATCTTGTAGTTAAGATATACATATGATTAGCGTGGGTAGTTCAACACATAGTTAAGATATACATATGATACGTTTTATGATTTTTCGCACCAGAAAAGTTAGAGAATCTGAAGAGAATGCAGATGTAGCTTTATCCAAACATTAATATATGTCGCTAATCTTGTCTTGCAAGATGACAAGAATGTATAAAAGCTTTACTAAGTGAAGCTTTGGTACTGATTTGATCTTAGTGGATGATGCAGAGGCTGAAAACAATGGAGAATCTGAAATAAATGTGGGATAAATGAAAGAGAAATGAATGAGAATCTGAAATAAATTTGAAGAGGAAGGTATGATAAAATCTGAAATAAATGTTATCGTTGTGAAGATTGAACCGGTAGAATGAGGTCATTATAATGTGACAGCAAGAAAGGAGGAAAAGGAGGTTGCCATTATGAAATGAGGGGGGTATAATGAGAAGTACAATGCAAAGTTTGACCGAGACGGGTAGCCTAACAATACATTATGTTAAGAGGGTATTTTGGCAAATAGTAAAGGTTTTTAGGGCATTTTGACAATGAAGTGTAATGGAGTTTTGTACTTCATTGCAACCGGAGGAGATAGAAGAATGCTCTGTGGTCGAAGTTTTGGAATGTGAAACTGAAACCAAGCTCTGCAACTGAAAGTCGTGAAGAGGAATGTAGCGAGTGAAGAGTGAAGAGGAAAGCCAAAGGATTAACACTGTGTAAATTGAGAAGACGCTTTTCAAAATGGCTATCAATTTTATTTGAATGATGTCGTTTATTTAAGGGTAACTGTGTAATTCCACCGTTTTTTGATTCCGTAAATGAAAGAAAGGTAGTTTCAAAATATGTAGCCTTTTCGGCCTATTTCGATAAAAAAAATCCTATTGGTGATAGGTATATTTATAAGACTGCACTTTAATTAAAGTAGAATGACATTAACTATTATGTATGTGTCATAACAAAAAAAAAGTGTAAAGTGAAATAAAATTAATAATTAAACTCACTTTTCTACTGCATTTAGATCAATATTAGGCTTTTCAAACTTTTGGTACTGCCACGAGTCTGAAAGGGTCCAAAGGTGGTTCGCCCCATTTAAGATGACTGTAGGTGTCTGGTTTCCGATCAATGACCTACTCTTGTCCATCAACATATTCATCGTGTGGCGCATCATTACTTCCAAATGTGTCCTCATTTGTGTCCTCATTGATGTCTAATGTTTTTTCAAAAAGAACAGAATCACAAATTGTTTGCTTGTGGTTGTAGAAACAATTTATCTAGGTCCACAAGGTGGATGATAATATGGTTGAGGCAGTTGGAGATTATTTTTCGACTGCGCTGTCAAAAGTCTACTACTTGACTGCTTCCAACATTTATTATCGAAGGTGGAGATGGTGTCTGAGTGGTTAGAGCGTGATTTATTGTGAGTTGAGCTTCTTGAACTGCCTAGATTCTCTTGGACTATCCGATATGGTCTATCCTTTAGCATAGTAGCTCCTAATCTTTTTTATAGAACCAAGTTTAACATGTTCATAATGAGAGAGTATTTATGTATGTACAACACAAATTTAGATAAAGAAATTACCCTGCATGAGTTAAACTCTCACCCAGATCTTTCTCCACAAAAGCTCACTCATGCACTAAAGAATGGAAAGTCATCTATTGATCCCTCTCTTTGCACTCGAATATGGCACATACACAACCTGATCAGCATGTAATACTAAATTGTAGCAATCTAAAATCCAAAGTCGATAATATATGTTCACGTCAACTATCTTGTACAATGGATCAAACCATTCACATTTGAATACGATTACCTTATAATCTTGATATTCCAACTGAATTATTTCTTGAATTAAGCAGTGATAGTCATTACCCAAACCATCATAACTTATGCACTTGACCATATATAACCCCGCAATTGCAGGTCGCCCTATCTTCTAACCGTGCAATCGTGTTAAATTTGTACCCATTTATATGGAGCGATTGGTAAGTCGACACATGTGGAGAAGGGAATCCAGATGGAGCACGAACCCATCGTGAATGGTTCACAGTATCATTTATATATGTTACCCAAAAAAATTTGGTTAGAAATGTTCTTGAATTTAACAAATAAATAAGTTGAAATTCTCACATTGTGGTAAAACATTAATTGAGAATTGTGCTTGAAATTGTATGTAATATGAACTTGCTAATCGAGATGTATTTTTGAATGTTCTGTAATTAATTAGGAATAATATTAGATTATCATTACTTTTAATGTAAATGGATATGAGTGCACTGCATTGGTTTGATTTTGATCCATGTATTGGCATGTACTTACAGCGATTACTTTTGCTTTTTGAGCAAAAATTGAAATAATGGTGTCATCAATAATAACTTAGCTACTAGTATAAATTAATAAGAACTAACTTTTCAAAATGATACATTCATCGATATTGCACTGTTCCACCAAACAAAACTTCATTTAGTAAATGTATGACAAGATGCTCCATATGGTCGAAGAATGATGTCGGGAAGGTCTTTTCCAATTTGAATATTGTATAAACATATGAGAATCATGACACTTCATACCAAATACCTTAAGGTTATTCATTTCAACACAAAGTCTCAATCGAGATGCAAAACCGTCAAGGAACTTCAACGAATCGGCCCAATTACATAAAATTTCCTTTTGTTTATCCGAAAAGGTGGGTTGGAATATTTTCAATGGAGGTCTCTCTTCATACCAGGCATCTTACAAATCTCTTCCATATCAATTTTCCCTCGTGTAAGGTCCTTTGATCTTTTAGGATTCCCAAATGGTATTAAATAGATTTTCAAAGGAGTTCTTTTCTATGTGTGTCACATCAAGATTGTGTCGTATTAGCAAATTCTTCCAATAAGGGAGATTCTAAAAGATACTTCACTTATTCCATCTGATATACTTTTCAGCAAATTTATTGTGTTCTATACCACCGAATTTAGTTACAAACATTAAAGCATTTATCTCACCATTGCAATATGAATCACATGTATATAATGGAGGATCATATATAATTGTTTTACACTTCGTAATTTTATAACATAAAATAAAATCACTAACCTCATACCAGTTGAATGTGCTCCGTTGCGCCAAGAATGGCTAGAGTGAGATCTGGCCGAATAAGATATGTGTGTGCCATAAAGATTTTAGGCGGAGTAGGTGGGAATTTAATTCTTGTAATTTACTGGAAATTTTTAGTGGCAGAAATTTCAGCTGTTGTTTTATTGAGGGCTGCGTCCGCCAGTAAAATCCGAAAGCAATATCCGAATTTCTTGTAATGATTTGAATTAATCCATCCCTAACCATTGTTTGATTACCGTCAAGCATTGAGTTTTATACATTCTAGTGTCCTCACCCGTGTGATCCAGGACCAAAATAAAGAACCGTGTATTAATTAAACAAAAAATATTGAAATTCAAAATGATACATGACCATTTCGATCAGGGATAACAAACAAAATCATGTTATTCAACATAAGATAACATAAAACACTTCCTTATAAACAACATTTGTTGTCTCATTCGAGCTTTGATCATTATCATCTAAAATTAAAATTTTTAACCCTCACCGAAAATAACTCGCGAAATTGCCGCATATAGTTGACAATGGCTGAAAACTGATTTCTTCAACAATAAATCGACACGTGAAAGAGATTGTCTTTGACTTTTACTAATGGTCATAGCATAATCAACCATCATAGTATAAGTAACCATGATTGAAAACTATCTACTACTACGTAATAAAAACTAAGATAATACAACAATGATAAACTTACCATTTGTTAAACAGCATTGGGACACCTTGAAATGAATTTAAAACAACCGAAAAACTATTCACTATACACAATTGATATTCTCTATATATACAAAAAAATGAAAGAAACGTATTTAAAATATGGTAATAAAAATTTATTCAAATCTCTTGCATCTTAAAGCAATTTTAAAAAACTCACACATATAATCTATGGGTTTAATGCAGGAAACCCCATGTGATATTTAAATTCAACATGTTATCTCCTTCTATTAATAAAAAGGCACTAAAGCCCCTTATGTTTTAATTAAACATGCTCACCCGCCCCTTATGAGAGTAATAAGTAACACCGTGAATTTTTTTTTACAAACATCCCGTTACACCCTTTTTATTTGGTACGCCAGCCAACCTTCAAACTTCCAGGTCTTTAACCTAAACTAGGGCTGGAGGCTGGTCGTTCAATACTCTGTCCAACATACGAAGGGGGATGAAGGTCACAAGGTGGAATTGAACCCAATTTGAAGTGAGAGGATCCATAGTGCCTTACTTCTACTAAGTTTCATTCTCAAACCATAGGACTGCGACTCATTATTAGGCTCTAGGTATTCAGGAGCAATAACCCATGTTTTTCATTGTTTGAAATTTTACTTTTACTTTTTAGTTTGTGAAAAAGTTTTGGGCTGCTTAGTATGTATAGCATTACCAAGAATATCAATTAGGGCTATTAGTAAGTAAATACAAACTAAGAATCTAAGAATTTCTATATTACTTTTTCTTGAAATAATAAAATAGATAAAAATGAAATTCAAGCTTTAATCGGAAAGAAGTGGTAAATAATATTGTCTAGTACTTTGTATTATTTAGTCAAAATAAGACCATAATTTGCGCTATGCATAACTATGCTAAACAATTGCTAATTAAAACCTTGAGACAGCATATATATGCCTAAACATGTATTGAAAGTTCATATTTTTATTTTAAATATGTGTTCGTTTTGATGACGTGAGACAACATATATGTGTGTAAACATGTATTGAAAGTCCTGCACTTTTTAGATTTAAATACATATTCGTTTGTACATTATATTGAACGACAAGGACTGAATAAAAATCTGTTTGGTCACATTGATGAACTTGGATATTACTAATATGTACAAAGCTATTGCTTTTTGGAATTTGGAATTGCATTCCTAAAAACAAAGGTTGGTGATGGAACGGTGCACTACTGTGTAATGCCTATATATGTAATTTAAATTGGTTTTATCAGTTTAGAACTTCAAGAACAGAGGTTGTATTTCAAATTGGATTTATCAATATAATCAAAGGTTATTGATTTATTACAATAATATTATACTACGTATTAGAGTTTTTTCAATTTAGAACTTTAAAAGATATGTTAAGGATGTTTTTACTCTGAAATTTAGTGATGTAGTTTGGTCGGGTGTGTTTAAGTCTGGTATGATTTGGTCAGAACAGGTCTCATATGACAGTATTTTATAATGTACTATGGAAGTCTGTACTGGTCTTGTCTGTTTATGTCTGGCCTGATTTGATCTGATCTGTTTAAATCTGATCTAATCTAGTCTGGGACTGAAAATTGTCCAAGTAAAAACATTATGTCAATCCGCGACTCGAAAAAATGAAATTTATTGATATAGGATCCAAATGTTTAAAAACTATGACAGATTTTAAAATCTTAAATATGACGATTTTTTATTTCTTTTATTTTTCTATTTTTCATTGTTGATTTACGATATTTTGATATTTTTCTTTATGAAGTTTTATTATTTTATTAAAATAAAATTCATCATAATTTAGGCCTTAGATTGATGTTTTAGATGATTTTTAAAATATATTTTAAAAAATTGAGTTTAAAAGGAGTCAAAATCTGGCAACACATAATTTAATGTAGAATTAGACATTTGAAAGGGATACAGTGGCACTTACACAATCTGGATATTATACTGAAACATAGAAACCGAAAGGTGAGAAAACCACTGTACTAGGTACGAGATGGGAAATGAGATGGATGGATATGAGGTAAATTAGACATTTTACTAGCTAAAAAGGTGGGAAAATGATTCAAGATCGCATCAATGGCACGTGTGGTACAAATAGGTTACTTTCACCGTTTTCAAGGATAATGTGCTTAATTTAATAAAACATAAGAGGTTTGTGTGCTTTTTTAATCACAGAGAGGGGTATCGAATTTAAATATCACAAAGGGGTTTCCCGCATTAAACCCTATAATCTATACATATAACACAAACAGCTATTTAATAGATAAATCATGAATAGTATATGGAATGTTAGCAAATAAATTTGTTAAATCATAATACTTTTTTAAATATTAATTATATACTCCCTCCATTCTCTATTAGATGTCCCTCATTCTCTATTAGATGTCCCTATAAGATTTGGCACAAGTTTTAAGAGGAAAGTAATAGGGGTAATGTAAAAGGTGTAATGGGTTGTGTTTAAATGAAAAATTAGGAAATATAACGAAACAGTAAGAAAGAGAATGAAGGTATATAAATACTCCCTCCGTCCCATATTTAACTCCGGTTTTGACTGGGCACAGGTTTTAAGATAGTGGTATTTATGTGGTGGAGAGTTGTATAGAAGAGAGAGAAATGTGTAAGAATGATTGTGAACCACATATTCTTTACCAAAAAAGGAAGAGGAGATAAATTTGGGAAAGACCGAAATGGAAAGAATGAAGATAATTTTGGAATGGGAGAGTATATTTATTGATAAAACTTTCTAAAAATGGAGAGGGAGACAACTATTAGAGAACATCCCATAATGAAAAAAGGAACAAGTATTAGAGAACGGAGAGTATGTTATAATGTTTCCTCATATACGGAGTATTAGGCTGTATTACTGAGTAGATTAAAAAAACATCCAACTTTTCTAAACAGCTCATAAGATCTCTTATTACCAAATGCACACTGCGTTTTAAAATTGTAGGAAAACTAGGAGCTACTTGTTTATGACTATGCGAGTATAGCATACACTAATTTCACAAGATACTATTATTACCAATTACAAAGTACATATTTCAAGTTCCAACTGGTAGCCAATAACGTCAACTTTCACAGTATATTGAAGTTTTCAGCTACCTTTTAAATTCACAAATGAATTAAATATACAATGTGTATGGATCAGCACCATGTCTCATACCTACAACGGCAAAAGCTCAAAACCAAGTCAACTAGATTTTCATTCTTCAGAAAAAACACCAAAGAAGGTTATCGAAATTTGAAAAAAAAAGAACATCAAACACAGCTCTTCAAAGAGTCCCCGGCTCCTTGGAAGAAGCAACAAGAGAGTCCAAAGTCAGCAATGAAAATACCGACTAGAGATATTACGACAGCTGAAGTGGTTGACTCTCCAACTCCCTTGGCCCCACCAAGTGTCGTCACACCCCAAGCACAGCTGACTGTGGATATGATCGCACCAAAAACCCCAGACTTGATCATTGCACTAACAATATCCCATGACCTAAGCGCCCTTCGGGCAGAATCCAATATTATGTTGACGCTAATCCCATACACAGCATCAGACAGAACTGCACTGGACGCCATCCCAACTGTAAAACACATCAGGGTCAAAATGGGTAAAGCGATAAAAGATGCAATCACCCGTGGGGTCACCAGGTAATCAACTGGGTCTGACCCAAGAACCCGTAGCGTGTCAGTTTGCTCAGAGACCTGCATCGTGCCTAGCTCTGCAGCAAATGCACTACCAATCCGCCCAGCGACAACAATCGACGTGACGACCGGACTTAGTTCTCTTGCAAAGGCTAGGGCCAAGACCCCACCCACGGACCGGTTTAACCCTAGCCTTGTGAACTCCCTTACGAATTGAATTGTGAAGGCCATGCCGACAAAAGCTGAGGTCAATAGACAAACGCCGACAGATTTAGGGCCAACCCTTTCTAGTTGTTGCAAGGTGTTTCTCCAGTGGATTTTACCCTTTACTATCCGTATGATCACTTGTCCAGCTATGATGAGTACGGATAGTCCCCTCCATAAATACCTAGGAGGAGACCATTTACTGAACAGGGTTTCTGATTCATTACTCAACTGAAAGCTGGCAACTGTGTCATCTTCTGTAGAGGCAGATACACAAATATGCCCATCGGTAGTATTAGGTAACACATAACATCGTTTTAGTTGTGCAGGCCTGGTATTCTTAAGAATCTGAACTCCTCGAGGAAAATAAACTTTAGGTGAGCATGGATTTGAGCATAACAATTTTATTTTCCTCTGACTGTTCTTATGGACAGTGCTGATTCTGTTGTCCACGAAATAACACACTGGGTGATTGGGAGAAGTGGTTGGGAGCATTTTACACTCTACACCTTACCAGGTCCCACACCTGATATGTGATTTTTTCAATTTGTTTGCTGCAAAGAATGAGAGAAGAGATATTTTGAGCTTAAAATTGTGACTGAGGATATTTCTAATTTTATAGTAATGAGAATGTACAAAAATGTAATACCCTTTCTCCGAGGACCAAACTGGAGAAGCAGTTTCCAGGAGGAAGGGAGAGAAAGTTTATCGATTTGAGGTGCAGCTAGCAGCTATCTCTATTCTTTACATG